TAGCTTTGCCTTGAGCTCGCTAAGAAGTACTGAGGGAACGTGAAAACTACACCCAGTGTCTTTTGAACTTGAAAAAGTGTTTCCTCACCCTCGGCTAATGGTAGCAGCAAAATGAAAAAGAATCAATACCTTACCTGGCTGTCATATCGCAATAGATTTGCTGCCTTCCCAATACTGCAGTGTCCTTGTGGGAATATAATAATAGCGGACTGTTTCATAGCACAAACCCCTCTTCCCAGTGTTGGTCAGTGCATCAGTTAAGAAATAATGCCACCTCAGGAATTAACTGGCATTTGGGGTTGCCTGCCTCCTTCTCCCATCCCCCTCTTCATCCGCCCCCTCCCCCTCCCCGATACAGTGATATCTGTGGGTCCTTAGGAGACTATGGAGCAAAATATACTATTGATAGCAGCATCTTTCTGATTTACACTCATGCGGTCGTTCATTTGGTTCCCACGTAACCTTTCTGTTTTTACCATTTTGCCAGATGTCATGTATTTATTCCACATCGTTACGCCTAGAATGCGCGTGGCTTTGTAATCGCGCATTTGCCTAGTTTCCTTTCCTCCTGAGTGATCCCTGCGATGTAAAACCCCTCGTCAAGGTACCTTTTTATACCCATCGCTTTATACGGAATGAGCCTCAAAGGTTGAATGTGCAATGTTATTGGATGCTGTCATGACTGTACTGTCTTCACACGGGCCCCCTCCGCACACAGGGAGCGTTCCCAAGTCTTCTGAGTCTACAGAACACGAAAGCTGTGACAAATACTGTAATCCCCGCCCGCGTGAGACGGCTCTCGGTAGGGGACTTGGCATTCCCCTTGGCCTCCAGACCCGGGTGGATTTTACCTTCTGTACTGTACTGTGATGTAAGCTCTCTTTCTGTACCAGTTCTGTTCGAAAACCAAGTGTATTTTATTTTATTATCTTTTTGCCTTAGCCGGAGGGTGGTGTTCGGAAAACAGCAACTGTGGAAGCCCCCTGTTCACCTAGTGTTCATTCCCAAACAATTGATGCAAATTCTTTTCACTTCCACTGGTGCACACTGAAACTTTACTTGAACAGTTCTCATAATAAAGCACTTGTCTTTTGCTCTTTGCCGGAATGCGAATGACCTGTTTTCTAGGACAGAAGGAGGGGGGTGTGTGTGTGTTAATTCTTGTGTTCTCCATTCTGTTGGCAGCGGATGACGCTATGTAGGTTATCAGGATGTTGTCACGGCAAGAAATCGCTCATCTTTTTATAGCAGCTCCCACTGTCTAAATGGTTTTATAAACACCGACATCACGCCTTTTCCAACATAGAAACTGGTGGGTTTTTTTTTATACTTTCTCTGGTCAACTCTTCTATGTTTGTGGGAAGGGAATTTACTTGAATATTTTTTATGAAACAACAATGACATCTTGATAGTCACTTTATTATTTTTAAATTCTTTTAAAAAATGTTAATCATTGAAAGTAATACGAATGTCCCTTGGAGAGTCACTTTAGATTTTCGGTGTTATATATTTCATTAACAACATGCATTTTCTTGAAGATTCAGAGGAATTTTACAATATGTTTGCATCAATAAATAACCAGTGTATGCCTCGCTGGCTATGTGATATCAGGCTGTCCTTGGTCTCTGTTTAAATATTATTTGCCATAACATCCCTAACATTAAATTAATAGTCACGTAAAGCCTGGGGCACAGTATTAAGTTGAAAAGTTAAAATTTGATAAATAAAATGAACTATGTCCCAGAACTTGGACCCAATCATATTCTCGAAGGTAGGATTTTCCTGAAAATCCTAAAGGCCTTATGATGAAGAGATTTTCCCCAGCAGTGCCATTTCCCAATGCGGGCAACCAGAATCCACACGAGCGAAGCACCAATTCCCTCTAGATACGTAATTCCATCAGCATGTGTTCATCCATCGAGATAGTCCCAGCCTCGATTCTTAAAATATCTATTGAGGCACCTACTGCATCTTAAGAAATATAAAGGGATTGTCAAAGACGGTTCCTCTTCTCCACGACTTCGATTCATTCTGGATGGCCAAGTGTACACGCCAACAAAAACACACACCCAACCAGGAATGGATGGATTCTGAGAGATGGCAAGGATGGAGCAAATGTCCGAGGGAGGCCGGAAAAGACCCTTTCGGCGGAAGGAAAACGCGAGAAGAGGCTTGATGTTAGTCACGGGTGTAAGACACGTGTCCGAGATGAGCCACTTGTTCCAGGGACCGCCAAGGCCCAGGCAGATTGCTAAGGAGCAGGTCACATAAAGCCCTGATTGGCAGCCTCGGCTCAGACTTGGACACACGACAGGCGATTCCCGCTGATGGCATTCAGGTATCTCCAGCATCCATGTCACCCCCGTTCCCTCTTTAAAAAGAACGTTCCCACTGAAACCGGTTTGGCTCAGTGGATAGAGCGTAGGCCCTAGGACTGGAAGGTCCCGGGTTCGATTCCGGTCAAGGGCATGTACCTTGGTTGCGGGCACATCCCCAGTAGGGGGTGTGCAGGAGGCAGCTGGTCGATGATTCTTTGTCGTCAATGTTTCTAACTCTCTATCCCTCTCTCTTCCTCTCTGTGAAAAATCAATAAAATATATTAAAAAAAAAAAAAAAAAAAAAAAGACCGTTCCCTTTTCCACTTTCCCTGCAGCTTTCTTACGGCCTGTTTCTCCACCAAGTGAAACATGCCTTCTTTCGATTATTATTATTTGAAAATTAAAAGGCCTCACAATAGGCATATAATGGACATCATTTATTTTTCTCCTCAGTTGTTTGTAAACGGGCCAGGAAGGCTGGGCTGGCCCAAGCCCTTAGCTTTGGATAAAGAGCAGAAGGAGTGGTAATGTGTTCTTGCTTTTCAACTGGAGTCCGGTTTGTGAAAAGGTGTTACTTAACTGTGGACAGACATGAATGCAGACTGGGAAATTGCTTCATATTTTTATTTTAAATATATATATATTTTATTGATTTTTTTTACAGAGAGGGATGGAGACGGATAGAGAGTTAGAAACATCGATGAAAGAGAAACATCCATCAGCTGCCTCCTACACACCCCATACTGGGGATCAAGCCCACAACCTGGCATGTGCCCTTGACCGGACTCGAACCCAGGACCCTTCAGTCTGCATGTGGTTGCTCTATCCACTGAGCCAAACCTGGCTAGGGCTCTTCTAAACTTCTTGACACATGGAAATAATATTATAGTTGGTTCCAGTCATTACCAGAAAGAACCACAAGGGGGCAGAGAAAACCCTATCCTGTATGCATTGCTCAGTCTTACCACCCACAATAATTGCAACTCTGTGAACCTGTACATAAAACAGAGACCCCATCGCCTCCCCCCTACCCCCCACAGTGCTTGCTCTTGTGGCCCACATTCTCTGGGTTAAATGAAGACCACATCTTATTCTGTCTACTCACAGACTTGAGGTGGACATCCTTCAGTTCTTCAGCGGATTTTGCCCTTTTCGGGTTATTTATATGACTTTCCATCTGACTGCAGAGGCATCATGGGACCGTTGGACCCTCATATCCAGATGTAATGCTTCATAAGTTTTCTCAACTGGTTGGAATTCTGCATTTTTCTCATCTTGTGCAAGTCTAGCAGGACCAAAAAACATGCAGATAATGAAAATGATCCTTGAAAACAATATAGCCTTTTATAGCCGTGTTCTTTTAATATCATAACACTGATTTCTCTTAGAATACTGGGGTGCACCAATGGCTTTTCATTGACTCAATTTATTTCCATTATTTGTAGTCATGAGTGTTTCTAGGGTGATTAGAATGTCACTGTTTAGCCAAAGGAATCCTTTAACTGGCCCAGGTAGCTTTGTGTGTATATGTTTTGTGACACCCTGTACATACACATATTAGACTATGCATATGTATGTAAATATATGTGTTAGAATGGAATACCATTGGCAAGAGTGACTGTATACCAATGCAGATTTTTCAGGTTTTGTTAGAAATACTCGCTTAGCCGTGGCTGGGTAGCTCAGTTGGTTAGACCATCTTCCCAATGTGTCAAGGTTGTGGGTTTGATCTCTGGTCAGGATACATACAAGAAGCAACCAATGAGTGCACGGATGAATGGAACACCAAAGCGATGTTTTTCTCTCTCTCCCTTTCTCCCTCTAAAAACATTTTAAATAATGTTAAACATGCTCTTTTGACGCATAAGATCAAAATTCTGACCTCATTTCTCCCTCAAATATTCTTCTATAGCTCAGTCATTTCCCAAGTCTTCAGTGTCGTTTGGCTAAACGAGAGAGAACCCATGATATTGTGAAAGAATTCTTTTAAGCGTCAGCTATCCCACTTAGAAGCTCTACCCACAGGGACTTCTGGTTCTGCTTCCGATGGAAAATGATTCCAGAGACTCTGGGTCTGGGGCAAACCCAGGTGTGACGCTGCACCGCAAACACAGATGGCGTTCTTGGGCGGGAGGTGGGCGTCATGGCTGCAGGAGCAGAGGTGATGGAGAAGGTGATGGAGTTCCAGGGAGGACCTGCCTCACTGAGGAGCAGCCAGAGATGCCCCCGGCCTGCTGGAGGTGGTGAGGGAGTGGGTAGTGGGGGAGCCAGGGGGGCATTTGCTGGGTCATGGGCAGGAGAGGAGAGTGTCCCGTAGGGGATCCCAAAGAACCAAGAAAGGTGCCAGGCCCAGGGGGGGGGGACACCCCTGGGGCAGTCCCAGCGAGGGAAGAACTCTCCTGCCCTCTGACCTGTTTTGGCCGCAGAGGGGGCTGAGACGCATCATTGGAGGTTCATTTATTTCCTGGCGAGTGACATGGTTTGGCAGTTCACGGTGCATTGACCTTTCCAGGTGCATGTCCCTCACCCCTTGGGGAGGGTGGGTGGGCCCATCACGGCCAGGCCTTGGCTGGGCCGCCGCAATCCCGGACCCCACCGCCAGGGGGCGCTGCGCCCTCAGGTTCCCCCCGCCCCGTCCGGGCCGGGGTGGCGCCCGCCCGGGGCTGGGAGCAAAGGTTGGTGCCTTCACAGCCGGACCTTCCTTCGCCAGAGAGAGGGGCCGCGGCGGCGTCATGGCGGTGGGTGCCAGGCTCCGGTGGGGGCGCCGGGGGCGCGGGCGGCGGGCGGCGGACGAGGAGCCCATCGTGGAGCAGCTGGAGCTGGACGACGGGGCGGCCGAGTGCCCCGCGCGCCCGGGGACCCGCAGCGCCCGGCGGGTGCACCTGGCCGCCCTCCCCGAGCGCTACGAGCCGCTGGAGGAGCCGGGGTCCCCGGGGCCCCCGGGGTCCCCGGGGCCCGGGGACAAGCCCAAGCGGAGGTACCGGCGGAAGCTGAAGAAGTACGGCAAGGTAGGCCCCGCCCCCACTATCGGGGATCGGGGTGCGGGGTGCGCCCCGGGCTTCCCACGGGGGAACGGATTCCATCCCCACGTCCCCTGCGCTCAGCCTCCCGCGCTCCCCTCTGCCCTTCTGCTCCCTCCAACCGCCCTCCCTCCAGCATTCCCCACTTAGCTACCCCCTGTGACCTGGGAAATGAAAGAAAAGTTTCCAATAAGGAGAGAAATTAACGCCCAGGTGACCCTAGGCACCCACCCGCTGCTGGCTGGTTAAGGACAGTGCCGAGGGTGGCTCCCCAAGCCAGTTCCCTTCCTAGGTGTGTGTGTGTGTGTGTGTGTCTGACACTCCCCTGTGGGCTGGGCAGGTGGGGAAACTGAGGCCTGGGCGTGGGCAGGTGCGCCTAGAAGGCGACCCAGTTGCAAAGCGTGGATTGCATCCTCCTCCCCAGGAGAGCCCGCCCGCTGAGACCTGAGTTCTAGCCCCCAACTATCCCCAAGGTTATTTCAAAGGGCCTGGGAGCTGGACAAAGACACAGATAGGCGCCTGCAAAAAGAATGCCGTTGGCCCTGGGGGTGAGAGGCCGAGGAGGGGGGGGAGAGAGAGAGAGAGAGAGAGAGAGAGAGAGAGAGAGAGAGAGAGAGAGAGAGAGAATGAAGGAATTTCCTCCTTGGGATCAGCCTGGAAGCATCGGAAGCTACAGCTGCCCCTGCCCCCTGGGGCCGGACAGGCGCCCAGAGGAAAAATCACAGATGAGTTCCTTAGTGGCCAAAGGCCAAAGGCCCTGCCGGTTTATTGTCCGGGATTCCTGGGCCCTGCAGCCGCCCTTCTCCTGCGTGGAACCAGCCAGGCCCCATTCCTGGAAGCTTGGGTGTACCCTCCTCCCTAGAGTATGGCTGCAGCCTGGGGAGCAGCCTGCAGGCAGGCAGTTATAAACCTGGGAGTGCACACGTGATGAAGCGGGACTCGGAGGTGGGGAGTCCCGCCAAGACTCACCATTTGCTTCCTGGTTCTGGCTGGGCCCAGGCAGCCATCGTTGCTCTCAGCAAAAGGTGAGTGGATCAGGTGCCCGTCTCAGCTCAGACGCTGGCTCCGAAGATGCTTTTTTTTTTTTTTTAAATGCATTTTTATTGATTTTTTACAGAGAGGAAGGGAGAGGAATAGAGAGCTATAAACATCCATGAGAGAGAAACATCGACCAGCTGCCTCCTGCACACACCCCCACCGGGGATGTGCCCGCAACCAAGGTACATGCCCTTGACGGGAATCAAACCTGGGGTCTTTCAGTCCGTAGGCCGACGCTCTATCCACTGAGCCACACCGGTTTCGGCTCTGAAGATGCTTTTGGGGGTCCAGGCATTGTGCTAAGCACTAGACACAAAAATGGGGACCCCACTCACTTCTGACCTTTTCGGGGAAAGATGAATTGGGATCACTTCATGGGGATGCAGAGCATGTGTGTGTGTGTGTGTGTGTGTGTGTGTGCATGTATGTGCTGGAGGTACAGAGACCTGCGGAGAAAGAAAAAGGTACAAAATGGCCCCTGGGAGAGAGAGAAAGTCAGCCGGCCGGACAGACAGGGCAGGCTTGCCAGGCAGCGTGGGAAGTGACAGTGAGGTTTGTGCTTGTCATCAGGGATTTTCCTTGATACCGGGCTCCCCGGTCATTGAGGTTGGACGGGCCACACGGTTGAGGGACAAGGTGGGTGTCGAGGTCCATGCACGCTGAGGTCATCGAGAAGGATGAGGGAGGTTGGGGACGAGGAGAGGAAGACGGGGCAACAACGCCATCTGTGTTGGTCACTGGTGGCCGTCTGAGTGTTTCTGTTGTGATTGCATTTGAGTCCTTGCATGGACCTGTCTTGCATGGCCAGGTCTTACAGAAAAGAGGCAGGAGGAGTGGAGATGGGAAAGGAAAGGACAGCCTGCCCGGCCGGTGTGGCTCAGTGATTAAGCATCGACCTAGGAACCAGGAGGTCACGGTTCGATTCCCGGTCAAAGGCACACCCAGGGTTGCAGGTTCCATCCCCAGCGTGGGGCGTGCAGGAGGCAACCGATCCATGATTCTCTCTCTCTGTCTTCTTATTTTTAAAAAAATATATTTTATTGATTTTTTTTACAGAGAAGAAGAGAGAGGGCTAGAGAGAAACATCGATGAGGGAGAATCATCCATCAGCTGCCTCTGGCACACCTCCTACTGGGGATGTGCCCGCAACCAAGATCCATGCCCTTGACCGGAATCGAACCTGGGACCTCTCAGTCCACAGGCCAACGCTCTATCCACTGAGCCAAACCGGTTTCGGCTCTCTCTCTCCTTATTGATGTTTCTCTCTCCCTCTCCCTCTCCCTTCCTCTCTGAAATCAATAACAATGTATTTAAAAAAAAAAAAAAAAGAAAGAAAGAAAATACGGCCTGGTCCTCACCCTGGGTATGTGGCTGTGTCTGAAATGCAGACTTCTCTGGATGCAACGATCAGAGCCTTAAAGGAGACACAGGTGTGGGTTGCTCAGCGCTCTGTGCTGCTGGTAGAGAGGACAGGGCTGGCTCTGGGATAAGGGAACTAGGGGAAACCTAGACCCAGCCTTCAGACGATCTGGTAACACCTGCAACAGAGGAGGAGTCAGCTTTGGTTAAAAATAATAAATAAATAAACCAAAACCGGTTTGGCCGAAACCGGTGTGGCTCAGTGGATAGAGCGTCGGCCTGGGGACTGAAAGGCCCCGGGTTTGATTCCGGTCAAGAGCATGTACCTTGGTTGCGGGCACATCCCTAGCGGGGAGTGTGCAGGAGGCAGCTGATGGATGTTTCTCTCTCATCGATGTTTCTAGCTCTCTCTCTCCCTCTCCCTTCCTCTCTGTAAAAAAAAAAATCAATAAAATATATTTTTTTTTAAAAAGAAGAAAAAAAAAAAAAAACCGGTTTGGTTTCTGAGCCAGCAGCCCCTCTGCTGCCCCCAAGATCTCGGAATGATCTGGAAATACGAGGAGCGTGAAAGCACGTTGATTCAGTGACCTCTGTCCTGAGTCCCCACGTGTTCCCAGGTCGGGGTGGGTGTGAGACAGACACGGTAACTGGCTCATGTGCCCCCGGGGAGAGGAAGAAGCAAAAATGATTCTCCCGGGATGCCCCCTCCTGCAGAAGCCCCCTGACCGAATTCTTTGCCTTTTTTTTCTTTCTTCTTTTGTCTCGATTCCTAAACACAGAACGTGGGGAAGGTCCTCGCCAAAGGCTGCCACTACGTGGTCCTCGGCCTGCAGGGCTTCGCCGCCGCCTACTCCGCCCCGTTCGCCGTGGCCACCAGCGTGGTGTCCCTCGTCCGCTAGCGGGGCCGCCGAGGGCCCCGCGTGGCCAAGCGCTGGCCTGGGACCCAGGAGGCCACAGGTCACCGTCCGATTCCAGCCTCTGCAAGCCCAGAGCACCTCGGACCTGAAGCCACAGAATGACCTGGAGAAAACAAAACAAACAACAGTCTTTGCCGTTTGAATGGGACGCGTGATCCGAATGGGCCATCTGCCAAGCTCTCTCTCTCTCACCTCTCTCCAGTGGACAGTCCCGCAGAGATTTGGGCCGATGTTGGTTTGGGGTCCGAGTTCAGTTTGTTCATCCTTGGGGACTGGCGGGGCTGGCTGGGGTGGGAGCACCGCGGTGGCGATGGGGAGGGAGGACTTGAACCCGGAGTGAGGACATTTGCTGCCTTCTCCTGGGAAGGCTGCAGGCTGACAGGAGTCCTCCCTCCCCTCTCCTCCCCCACCCTCGGTCGCCAGGAGTTGAATCTCAGGCCTGAGAAGGAGGAAGTGACATCCCTTTGAAGGCCGCGACACTCCGAAGCTGGGTTGATTGACAAGGCATCATCACGACTGTTTAAAGTAGATAGATGCTTGTCATCGCCGTCAGGGTGACATGGACGTGCAGGGGGGCTGAGGGGAGGGAGAAGGGCAAGTTCAGGTGCGGGCTGCGTGGTGGGCAGGGTTGGTGAGGGGGTACACACATGGCTGGTGCTGTCCTGACTCAGGCGCCAGCAGCATCAGCCCGGCGTCTCTGGGCCAAGCCGTCGAAGAGGGCTTTGTCCCGGGAGCCAGGGAGATGCCACATCTGGGGTGAGAACGTAGGACGCAGAGAAGGAAGCAGGAAGTGGGAGGCGGGCGCGGGAAGGAAGTAGAAACAGGACAGGAAGGAGGTTGGAGGAGGGCGGTGGAGATCCAGTACCGGGATTCGGGCCTTTGGCGGGAGGAGAGGGGAGGGCTGAGGGCTCCTGAGTTCACGTTGTCTGTTTTACTGGCATCCTTCTCTCTTCTGTGCTGCCCACTTTGACCACATCCCACCTGGACTCCAAGGTCAAGGTGAGCATGGTCCTGACGCCCCCCCAGCGTGACCCAGCGACAGATGGGTCCCCTGGCCAGGAAGGTGGGAGACAGGAGGTCCCTCACCCCAGGCCCTCCGCCAGCTCCGGCCATCGGCCACTGTCCTTTGTTCCCGGAATCTCTGAGAGTCCAAAGTGGTCATTGCTGGGGGATCGGAGGCCCCGATGTTCTCGTTCCAGCCACCGAGCCCAACCAGGTAGCCCCGTGGAGCGGGGACGGTGGGCAGACAGACAGATGGACAGAGAAGGAAATGGGAGGTGGGGAGAGAGAGCCATCGTTGGGGAGCGAAGGCTGGGAGGCGCACGGTGAGTGAACTTGGACTCAATGCCAGCGTCACTCGTGTCCGTGCGGACGAGAGAAAACAGATGCTCTAGTTCAAGCCCAAAGGATGGAAGTTATCACACAGGAGGGTATTACAGCAGGCCTGGCCCCCCGGGAGCTGGCGGGGGAGGGGAGGGAGAGAAGGATGATGAAGAGGAAGAAAAAGCAAAGTTGTGTTTAGTGGGAGAGTTGGGTCTGCTGATCCTGAGAAGGAACATGGGAGAGAAGGAGGGAGGGAGGGAGAGAGAGAGGGAGGGAGGGAAGAAGGGAGGGAGGAAGGGGGGGACCAGTTGCTGGAAGTGGTCCAGGGATGCTGAGCAGCCCCTGAGCGCTCCCTGGGTCCCTGAAAGGTGACCCCAGGAAGGACAGGGAAGGCCACTGCAAGACCTTCCCCACCTCGTGCCCCCACCCTACCCCGGCCGCCGCCCCCATCTTAGAGACGCTATCAGGCCAAGTTCACTTGGCCCTGGACTTCTGGAAGGCTGGTTAAGCATTAACCCAGGAATTCCAAAAGTCGAACCTCACAGAGGTTGTGCCCGCAGCCAGATTCCTGGGTCAGACAATGAACTTCAGACTCGCCGGGCCCCGAACTCTCCAGACTCCCCGAGGGGCCGCCCGTGCTGGCCACCACCTTCTGTGCCTTTTCTTTCTCTCCGGCGTCTCCCCAATCCCCAGGCCCGCGCCCCATTGAGAATGGGGGATCAGAGCTCTTTTCCTACGTGTTCGGCCTCCGAGGCTTCTTTTGTATCCTGGTCGCGGCCGGTTATGTAAATAAAAACCCCGGTTGGTTTAATTTCTGTGCGTGAAGATGGTTTTTTTTGCGCCCTTTATGGCCTTTGCATTAGCCAGATGCCCGCGGCGTCCAGCCACAGCTGGCCAAGGACTTCACTCAGCAGGTGAGGGTCCAGGCCCCAGGAAAGAGGCCCTGACTCACCTGGTGCTCTGGTTGGCTCGTAAAGGTGGGGCCACTCTCTAGAATCTTCTAGAAGCCCAGCAGGATGGGGTTCGGTGTGCAGGAGCCTCGGCTCATGTATTTGCTAAAAAACGAAAATGTCCTTGCCTGGCCCGTGTGGCTCAGCCGCTGAGCGTTGACCTGTGAGCTAGGAGGTCACAGGTCACAGCTCTATTCCAGGTCAAGGGCACAGGCCCGGGCTGTGGGCTCGATCCCCAGGGTGGGGCGTGCAGGAGGCAGCCGGTCCATGATTCTCTCTCCTCATTGATGTTTCTACCTCTCTATCCCCGTCTTTCCTCTCTCGGCAATCAATAAAAACATAGTTTTATTTTTCTAAATATTTTATTTGATTTCAGAGAGGAACAGAGAGAGAAAGAGGTGGGGGGAGAAAGAGAGAGAGAGAGCGATCAACAGTGTCTATTGTTGATGGAGGGGGGGACTTCTTTCTTTTCTTTCTTTTTTTAAAGTACGTATGTTTTTATTGATTTTAGGAGAGAGAAAGGGAGGGAGGGAGAAACATGAATGTGAGAGTTGAACGTGTATCAGCCTCCCACTGGGGATGGAGCCCACAACCTGGGCATGTGTCCTGTCTGGGAATTGAACAGGCGACCTCTGGGTGCATGGGAGGATGCTCAACCACTGAGCAACACCGGCCAGGCCAGGGCCAGGCGGGACCTCTGAGGGGATCTTAGTGGGGGCTTGTTCAGCAGGAATGGCCTCTGTCTGGGGAGATGGGAGGGGTCGGGTCCCAGAGCCCACGGAGAAAACAGAAGTAACGGGGTAGGTAGGCCGAGGTGGGTGCAGGGGTGAGGGAAAGCGAGGAACCACAATTCTCTCAGCTTCTGGCCGGAGCAACAGAGACGGCACCAGCGGGGGAAGAAACGGAAGGAAAAAGGCCGGAGTCTTTCCAGCTCAAGGCCAAGGCCGTTCCCCGTGTACAATGCCGCTCTGCTGGGCCAGAACTATTATACCTGGGCTTGCTGCGGCCGCGGCCACGCTATTTCCTGAGCCATTGTTACCGTTTTCACCTTGGAGCCTGGTGAGCAGTCCCACGGCTGGCCCCGGCCCTGACCTTGGCTCTGGGGGAGGCTGGAACTTGCCGGCCACTCCCCTTGGTCTCCGCTGGCATCGGAGTCTGCTGGACGCTGGACAGACACATTCAGCCCTGTGGGGGGGGCAGGGGCTTATGAGGCAGGGAAATCCAGGCCATGAGGTGTTCAGTTCTACGTGGGGCTTGAGCCTCACCACAGCACATGGACACGCGTGTCATGGTCCCCGCTGTTGACACGTGGGGAGAGGCCTCTCTCCTGCATGGATCTCTACAGGGCACAGCTCAGGCCCTGCAGATTCTGACCCCACCCTCCGTCTCGTTTTTCTTCTCCTTCCCTCCCTCCTCCCTCCTTCTTCCTCCCTCTTTCCTTCTCCCAGCTATCTAACCAGATGGTCCTCTTTTTTTTTCTTTTTCTTTTTTTTTAAACATATTTTATTGATTTTTTTACAGAGAGGAAGAGAGAGGGATAGAGAGTTAGAAACATCGATGAGAGAGAATCACTGATCAGCTGCCTCCTGCACACCCCCTACTTGGGGATGTGCCCTTGACTGGAATGGAACCTGGGACCCTTTGGTCCGTAGGCCTCTGCTCTGTCCACTGAGCCACACCGGCACTAGGGCTATTCAGACGATCTTTCCGCTAGACTCTGTGTGGCTTCCACCACCACATTTGGCCCAGACTATTAAGAGGATTAGGTGGAATTCCCTCTCCCTGGGGAACACGTGAACAGTTTTCTATCCACATTCCTGAAGCTCAAGGTGTGGTTCGTAAATAAATAGGATGAAAGGGGCATGGAGGCTATTTTGTGCGAGACACTTTGTTTCATCCTATTTTCCTGGGGTTGGAGGCCATCCCAGCGGGCAAGGACATTCTTCCCCTGGCCACCCCCCTCCCCGAAACCTATCCGGCCCCAGTCCTTCCTCCCCCTCTCCCAGCCCAGCGGGGCTGAGATGAAAGGCCAGCCTGCCCAGCGGCCAAGGAAAACAATGGCAGAGACACAGCAGCTGGGAAGGGGAGGGGCCTCGGGATTCTGCATCCGGGCTGATAACCTCCTCAGAGGCAGAGCTGCAAAGACTGGGGGGGCTCGGCCATGGTCATCAAAGGAACTTGGGGGTGAGAAGGTCCCTGGCCCTCAGGGTCATCAGCTTAAGCCCCCTCGACCTTGCCCTTGATGTCTGAGGAATAGAGGTGATCCTCCCCCCTCACCATGAATTCCTTGGAGCACCTATTTTTTTAAAATTCTATTTATTTGTTTGTTTATTGATTGATGATTGATTGATTTTACTGATTTTCCACAGAGAGAAAGGGAGAGGGACATCCATGAGAAAGAGAGGTAGAAACATCCATGAGAGAGAAACATCGACCAGCTGCCTCCTGCAACCTCCCCCCCCCGCCCCCCCCGCCCCACCGGGAATCCAACCTGGGACCTTTCAGTCCCACAGGCCGACGCTCTATCCACTGAGCCACACCGTTTTCTGCTGGAGCATCTATTGATTGATCAGGTATCAGCTGAGACATGACGGTGCCCCAGATACACAGGGAGACCCCCAGTCCCAACGGGTGGAAGGAAGGTCGCCTTACAGGGGGGACTTGGCGAGGACAGACACATTGCACCTCTTTCTTCTGGCCGGTCCCCATTGCTTGCTCCCCGCCTGAAGCCACACACTCCAGGCATCTCTCTCCTCCTCCTCCTCCTCCTTACTCAAAGGGCAAGTGTGGGAGGCCGACACAGTGGGGAGCTGCCTCTTTCTCTCCGGGCGGGGCCCTCCTTCAGGGAGACAGGGGACTCCATGTCTCCGCCCGAGAAGGGACTGCATGTCTCGGCTGGTTGGGGAACAGACACCTCATCCTACTTCCCACTCAGGATGGCCCT